GTACATGAAATATATTTCCCCTTCCAATTTTGTAGCTGAGCCTTTATGCCTTTAATGTCTCATAATTTATTTTGTACAAAATACTTATCGACATGGTAAATGCCACTTCCAAAAATGTAAGATGTTCCTTTTGCCAATCATAAGCGAATACTCGTTGTAATTCTTTAATTTTATCTTCAGAAATATGTATGCCCATTCCTTGGGTATTGTTTGTAATTTGAATATTTACTAAATGTAGCTAGTGTGTTTTGTAATTCAGAGAAACGTGTGTTTTTTTCTAAAGTCATTATAATATCATTGGCAAATAGTGTAAGTTTATATTCTGCTCCCTTAATCTTTATACCATGAACGTCTGGGTTTTGCCTGATTAACTGTGTTAAAGGTTCTAAAGCTAATATGTACAATAATGGAGAAAGTTCCATTTGTTAGAGGAAAGCTATATGACATAAAGCCACTAGTGATGTCCCGAACGGTTCGCTGGTGAATAGTTCCTGGCGAACATCGCTTGTTCGCGTTCGCCACGGATGACGAACATATGCGCTGTTCGGTCCGCCCCCTATTCGTCATCATTGAGTAGACTTTGACCCTGTACCTCACAGTCAGCATACACATTCTAGCTAATCAGCAGCAGACCCTCCCTCCCAGACCCTCCCACCTCCTGGACAGCATCCATTTTACATTCATTGTGAAGCTGCATTCTTAGTGAGAGGAGGGACAGTGTAGCTGCTGCTGATTTGATAGGGAAATTGATAGCTAGGCTAGTGTATTCAGTGTCCACTACAGTCCTGAAGGACTCATCTGATCTCTCTGACCTCACTACCCCCCACACCCTCAGCCTCACTACCCCCCACACCACCCTCAGCCTCACCACCCCCCAGCCTCACTACCCCCCACACCACCCTCAGCCTCACTACCCCCACACCCTCAGCCTCACTAGCCTCCACACCCTCAGCCTCACTACCCCCACCACCCTCAGCATAACCACCCCCCACACAACCCTCAGCCTTACTACCCCCTACACCC